TTAAACTCAGTGAGATGCCAGTCATTCGAAATGATGATCCATATCGCGGTGGCGGGTGTAGCTCAATACTATCGGGATTATTTGAAATGTGAGGCACTGTTTACACACTTGATCGCCTCTAGCCATCAAGTCAGAGCGCATGAGGCGTTCCAGCCCATCTACTGCGTACCCAGATGCCACACAAGAGCGGTTAGATGTTGTCTAGTGGCAGTGGCCGAGGCGATAGCTTCAGGCTTCATGACCCTGACCTATGTGCACACAAGAAATTTGTCCAGGCACTAACTCTACCCTGGTCCCCTGTAACACTGACACAGTGTGGACAACTCCACACACACGCACACACACAAACAAACAAACTGTCGATCGCCGTGGGGCCAATCGCCTAGCTTGGTCACTCAGACCATCTGGGTTTTGTACCTGTACCCTTAGCTGATGTTTACGTTCATGTCATTCATTTGTGGTGTATTAGCCTGGTGAGGAACCACTGAAAACGAGCTTCTTCGCTAACATTTGTTCACTTGACTATATACGTTATGCGGAATATCTTGAAGAGATGAATGATAAAATATGTACTCTCATGTAACTCAGCAGCTTATCCTCGCTAGGTACATAGATATTTTGGACCTACTTATACGAACACGCTCCTGGAGCCGCCTACGAAACGTTCGCAAAGGCGTTTAGCACATGCATCGGAGCAGAAATCTTTTCACTTTCAAGGCATTTCTGGGCGTGCGTCCTCTAAGTCCCGGCGAGCTCACAATGAACCTCCCAATACCGAAACCTTGATTTTTTGTGTGACAAAACATAACTACTGTGTGAAGTCTATTCGCAAGGAAAGCGAGAACAAATGAAGCGATTTTGCACAAGCCGCGAAAATTTACACAAGCCCTTCAATGGACCCATTTAATGCAGACCTGTATTCGAGTCTCGGGCACGGTTGACGACCAGCAATGGTAGCGGTCAATGAATTGCGGTTACATTACTTGCACCCATTTCAGGGAAAACGAGCCCAAATATTCTCCATCGGTCCCCATCGGTCCAATGTCACACTCACTGAAGAAACTGTGTTATAGGAGCTAGTATCCCTGTCTACCCAGAGTTCTACCAACTCTACAGCATTCGGCCGGAAGCTCTGGTGGTAGCGGACAGCAATCTAGCAGAACCATTGTTCACTTTATTTTAACTCTCTCTGGGACAGAAATGAATTATATCAAGCGAGGTAGTCTCACCAACCCTGCCAGTTACTGCCTGGTAATGCTAGTTTCTGTGTTATCCAATGTTATGGAGTCAATAATCGTAGAAGCAGTGTTTCATGTATGGAAAACCATAGCATAGTAGCTCTGGAGCAACACAGCTTTCGCCAGATGTTCCCATGTACTACCAACCTTCTAATTGCGCAGTAGCTGCCCGAAGTACTTGATGGTTTAGTGGGAGTCGGTATCAGCTACCTGGAACTATCAAATGGCTTTACTGGCTTAAATCATCGAGTTCTTCTTTACAAGTCTCGAAACTACAGTTAAGTGATACAGTCCTTGGTTGGGTAGGCAATTTTCTGCACGATCGTGGGAATTCCGGCCTAGATTGGCCTACGAAAAGTCGTGCTGCTATCGAATCGCATGTTCTTTGTTTTCAAATGTGATCTCTGGAAGGTTTTTGATTCCGGACTTTCGAGCTTCGCAACCGATATCGAGATGTGGCAAGCAAGCGGAGGACTTGACGCCACAGAGGATACTAACGTGGTCTTGGCATTCTTACGAAGTTATACTTTCGACTTTGCTACCGTTCAGTGTGGAAAAGTGTCGCGTTCTTCAAGTACAATCTAGACATGTCTACATATATATACTTGTGGGAACTAGCTTGCAGACTAGTTCCTTGAAACATAACCTTGTTCTGCTCCTACAGAGTGAACTCGTCTGTACAAAACAGGCCAAAACAGCTGCAAAGTAGGCAACTAGCCGCCAAAATGCCGTGGAAGGAATGCAAATGTTTAACTCATAAAGCTTCCCGATAATTCACAACTCATAGTTTCGTCGTCACCTGGAATGCTGAACCTAAGTTTGATAACATTGGTTGAAGCACGACATCGAAATGCTAGAGACAAGACAGGATAACAAAAAGCATCAAGCGTCTACGCAGATTCTCTTACCATCAAAGACGGAAGCTACTAGAAGTTTACTGCAGACGTTACTGACAGTTACGTGACCACATATTGCTGTTCCAAATATAGTGTGACTACAATCATGTGTCGCTATTCGTTGAAACTCAGACACAACATCAAACTCAGAGGCAATCGCCCGAAATTGAGTGATCTGTACAAGCGTCTAGAACGCCGACGGAATCACATTTGTCTTCGAGGTTGAAAACCCTAGAACAATCTCTAAATAGCAGTTGTCTCTTTCCCTTCGGTGGGTATCTTCACAGAATGATTGGATGTCGCCATTAGATCCCAATACTTTGTTTGTCTTAACCGTGCTGCTGAGGATTATCTTTATGATCAGCTCATATTAGAGTTAGGTATCACATTGTAGTGTGTTGATCAGACCTGGTCGCCGAAAGTTACGCGTAACCTGATCACGGTCCCTATTGACACAGGTATTCGGGTAAGGCGCTGAGACCTCGAAATCAGACAGCGATACGCACATGACAGGGGAACTGGATGCGCGAGGCTTGGACGCACGCGCAACACAAGGCTAGGGCGGCGCACAGGATCACATGACCGGGCGCTTTCCAGCTTCCCACAAGGGGAGACAAGACAAGACGCAGCGGATCACTGAGAGTTCTTTTACGGTTCACAAGGACCGAATCAAAGTTGTCACCACGCATGTACACGAAAGAAAGTTGTTCACTTCAGCGTAGTCGTGCCCCTAGTCCCAGTGGCTTCATTCTGCCACGTTGTGAGCAGGAAGTGAAAGCTGCGTCCGGCAGCCCGCGCACTGCACTTTGTGGCGTATTTTAGCTGGGTCACTTGACGTTTCCGCAACCCCTCCCTTTGAAGATGTGTACCGCTTCTGACGATGATTGACCTGGAAGGATTTCGGTGATCTCCGGATTCTTCTTGTCCATCCGTAAGGATGGTTCTCAAGATGTTGCGGCGACTGGAGGGATCCAATCGTGGTCTCCCTTTGGGTTGCCATTCCGAAGGTAGCTAACAAAATGTGTAGCAGAAGGTGCACAGAAAGACTAACTAGCAAGACGCGTTCTCCGTGTTGTGGTCGAAGTTGATTGCGATGGCGGACCCACGTGTCATCACTCACGGAGATATCCTGCAACATCGACGGGTCGTCACTGTTGCGTTGATCCAGCGTGGATGACCTGTCCGGTAGTCGCGAACGTATACCGAGGCTCCAAATACGAATTCATTGTTCTTGGTGCATGCAGTAGAGTGACTTGGTAACTTTTTGGTCGGGATGAGCGCTTCGTAAGTGGTGCGCACCTTGCGGCTAGAGTGTGGCATCCCGGAGCTGCTGAAGTTGATGTGGAACGATACGAAACAAGGAACACCAAGGAAATGGTGGTTAGTGTGGTGGCAACTTGGATGCTTGTCAACCAACTAGGAACACGGGGGCAGACTATCTGATGGTGTCGTCAGTTTGATTGCTTGGTACTGCCGGAGAATGTAGCGCGTTGCAGATGGCCCGAAGAGGTAGTTCGGCCAATCCAATGGTGGAAATGCCAGGCGCCACATAATCGCCACGCATAGAGGGGGGACTTTGCTCGGTCGGATTGGGTGGGGCGCACGGACGATTGCGCCCTAGCTGCTGCGACGGCCTGGACCATACCAGGTGAGGTGACCTTCTGGATCATGTCAGAGTCGTGTTTCAGGTTCAGCAACGTTTGACACTCATCGGCCAGGTTCTGGAGTGTGACAGTGCTATCTTAATGTAGCTTGGATAGGTGGTACCTCCGGCTATCTGCATCGTGTGCAGATTGGAGACCAGCGACGAAGAACAAACATTTCTATTAGTCCACTGTGAGCGAACCAAGTTGAAAACTCTCTCTTTCACAGTTGACCACGCCCGCGTATGTGATGAAGTCATCGGCATCACGCTTGGCCAGCTGTAGACATTGATAAGGAGCAATGAACAAGGAGGACAGCTCGCCAGAAAGCTGTGATAAGGTTTGGACCGTCTCGTTGAAAGCGCCTGTCCAATCCAGCTTGTCGCGATAGTGCAGAAGAATAAGTGAGGGGCTCGTATTGGCATGATGCAGCGCAGTGTAAAACGCCTACCTTGGATCACTCCAGGGGCCCGAGATTAAAAAGCATTTGCCGCTCAATTAGTCTGGCGGACTACGCCAATACAGCCTTTAAAATAGGTTTCCCTGCCGAGCAGATTCATACTGAACCGAATTTGCTACAGTTCGTTCATTCTGGAACTGATTGTCCGAAAGATTCTACCTATGTACTTGGCTTTGCAGTCGCATGCGAACTTGTGTACGCAGCATAAAATGCATGCACTTACCGGACTTCATTTCACATTAGGCTTTCAATAAATCGACGCGTTAAATTGCTACAAATATTTGCGGGCTGCTTTTGTGGTCGTGTGGTTTCCGAAGTGGTATATGCGCACTACCTTCCTATTTGGTCACTGCACAACTGCTAACCGGGAGGTGAAACTTGTTATTCAAAAAACTGTCAACCGACTATTTCAGCTTGCGCTTCTCCCAGTCTTACAGCATGTAAAAACTACCACAGTCTATTAGATTACCGCTTGCTTTGGACTGAGATCTTCAAGCATGTCATTTATATGGTCCAGGTGGACAAAAGCAAGTTCATTAAAATGGATTAGCTATGGTTTGTGGAATCCAAACAACTTTCTACCTGCAAAGACAGACCTAGATTACCTAAATCTAACCCAATAGGTAAAACAGATTTGTACCCATGCACCCTAGTTTCGTACCATTGTCACCAGTGATAGAATACTAGCGTTATTTCGTTACTGCGCCTTGACCAAACGTGGGCAACATCTTCCAACTTGCAATTTCACTGTTATATATTTTAGGCCACAAACGGAATTCCGAAGCTACAACTACGTGATCAGTTGATTGAACTAAAAAATATCAACGTTTCGGATGGCAACTGGCATTTATATGAAATCACTATCACTCCCAGGTAAGCAACCAAATAAACGTAAGCTTCTCCAGAACTCTTTGTTAACGCACTCATCGTTAAAACACAGTGGAACTGATGCATAGTCAAACAATTCGTAATTTTTTGGACGGTTATTTCTCCCAATTTGATGTGGCGATTCTAAGTGTCATTTGTCGACTCCGCAAACCTGAAATGAAATAACAAACTGGTCAGACTTGTACTAAAACTTATCGCACTGATGCACTTTAACCGACTTTAGCATCCTATCCCATTCGCCATTTTTATGAACCACTTAGCTTTTCGCAACTTAGCAGTAATTCTCTAAGCCAGTGTGATGACAATGTACATCACTGAAAACTGGTAAAAGGAATGTTGATGACGTTTCTCTGGTCCTGAAATGTGGGGGACGGTGAACGTAGAGACTGGCAAGCCCAGTTCTCTAGTTAATCTACTAAGAAAAGCATGTGTCCACAACTAAAAATATTCGAAGACTGTACTTAATTAAATCAGCTTGTTGCGAGTGTAAAGGAAATAAGATTGGCCGATTTGTGACGTATTTTCACCCACAGAGACAAGAAAACCTTTGCTAACTGTTGTTCATCCCAGATGTCGTCAAGGATAAAGAAGCAAATAAATCTTTTGTTTTTCAAAGGCACGCTAGACTGTTCTCACGTAGGGAAAGACCAAATGATTTTGCAGACTTCCTTCATAAACCCCCTCAAGATACGGAATGGAAAGATGTGTGATGTTATGTTCATTACAGTTTCGCATATGCATGTTGTTCAGGCAGAGGTGCAGAAGAATGTACTGGGGTTAAATCTTCGTTAACTTATCTCCCATCGATTTTAACCAGCGCAGTCTGACCAAAAGGCGGAAATGGCACTTTTGTGGCCGAGCTGCAATATGTTCAGCAGTGCAAAGAGTCCGGACTGCAAACAAATAGCACAGGAGGCTACACCAACGGAAGATGCACGTATCGACTACTGGGAGACAACCTGAGTGTACGACGACGATGATCCGATGAGCGGACTAACAGAACGAACGAACGTGCGGAAACGCTTGTATTTAACAGCATGACAAGTGTAGATGTGTTAACCGGCTCAAGCGTACGTAAGCAAGTGGCTTCATTAAAGATAGACTCAGTAAAGGACCATTGTAAATACTTTACACATCAGGAGAGAAAAGGGAATAAAAAGGCACTAAAAATAACATCTAGTTTAAACGAATCAGTACGGTTTCATTTGCTTTACAGAGCCAGTATTTCAACATCCCGCTGACGCGTAATCCAATTTCATCAATCGATTGAAGCATGTTCAGAGGTTTCAGTTCATGGTGGACTGAGGGAGGGAATAAAGTAACGGTTAGATCAACGCAGCTAAGAAACGGCTATAAACGTTATTCCTGTGAAAAGAAATAAAGTATTAAGGTCTATCAAAGTGTTATTCCAATATGTAAACCATAATTTACAAGAAATACATAAACTTAAGCAAGTGTACTTACAATTTCCCTAATAATTGTGTTGGGGTATCTATAGATACGGAATCGTGCAGAAAGCCTTAATCAGTGTGAAAAATGCTTCAGAATGAGAACGAACCATCATCCATTGAGAACTTGCTTTCAACTGAGACAAATGCTGCGCTCAGAGATCGAAGCACCCGGATTTCACCGGTGCTAAACTTAAAGCGCTAACAGCAAAGTTGACAAATGTTGCGTAAGCGTTAACCGAGGTCGTCTGTCTTGCCTCAGTTAACACAAGAGTAGGTTTGATTCTGAAATCACTGAATGAAACGAGTGGGGAGGCCGCGGCAGTCTGCATCACTGTTGACAGTCCATCCACTGTTGTCTACCATTGGATCGAGGAGTGTCCCATCTTACCGGATGCTATAGTTAACTTAAAACTAACTGACTCAGAAGCGTTTGGTAGCATGGTTGACTCTCCTCATGAGCCTATTAAATGGAAGCAAAAGGGAAGCAGGAAATTCTAAAAGTCCTCTGCAAACCCGGATTCTTAACTGTCTCAGCATCGAGAAAAAAGCGGATATCGTCGCTCCCAAAGCCTTCCGACGGTTGTGCGAAGGAGAAGATTTCGATATGCGTTACTTGTCAGTTGAAGATTCTGACCATTTTAGCTGCAAACGAAGAAGCCAGCTCTGGCGAATTGTTTGACACTGCTCAATACGATACACGATCAAGGTCCCATGTTCCCATCAGCCAGACAAAAAGCAGACTAATACTCTCCGTGAGCCTTCGGGCTGGCTCGAAGACCCAGGAATAAATTAAGACGCCGGAACTATGACATACGCTACAACTGCTTCAACGTTGTTTGAGAGAATATGAGAAAGCCCATCACCAGTGATGAAGCCACCAGGTGTAAGTGTTGAAGCAAAGCAAGTGGGATACACACACCCCGTGATGATGATACCTACATAGATAGTTACATAATTTTACGTAACGTTAGTAAATCTACGGCAGCTTTCCCTAGGGAACGGATGCTGGATGACATCATGCGGCTCAAACTGTGCGTCATCAAACTGCTTCCATCTGGCTTCCCAGAAAGCTGACCAGACTGGAAAACGTCCTTATCGGTAGGCCAGCTTCGCGACCCTGACCAGTTTGCGTGGTCCCTTCTAACCAGGAGGGATGCAAAGCGTTATTGCTCTTTGTGTTCGGGTTTATTGATAGTAACATCAGTGAGTAGCCAGACCTTCCAAGGAGAGGTAGGTTGAAGTTGAAGGAGGTCATCAAGGACATCAAAAATAGACGGTCGGCTTGTGAGCCAGGCCTTCGTCTTATGGTTTTTCAGGTCGTTATCCGGAGCTCAATTTCCACTCTACCAGAACACATCCTGTGTGTGTTGCCCACACACACGCGTGAGGTGCGTGCTCCTGGTTCATTTGGATTATTCTTCTCTATCCCCTTTCCCTCTGCTCGTAGCGTTGTCACTGTACGCTTATTCGAACCGGATTTACCAGCCCTACACAGTGATCCATTATACGTGCAATTATCTTCTACGATTAAAATCCGTGCCATCACTAACTGTTTTAAATGTCATCCGTGCTTAAGCACAAGCGGATAGCGCAATCAAATTGAACCGATTGCTTTTCTGTGTAACACCATTCGATACAGAATGCTCGAGGCAGTCCGAAAAGCTTAAGCTTATTCCAATCGGGTGTTTCTCAACGCATCTGTGAAGGAATTTGTGATCTCTCAAACTGTGTACGGCGTTGTGTTTTGATTCATTTGCTTGGTCCCAAACCAGCCGGGACTAACATCGATCGATCAACCGACCAACACAGCAGCGTGTGCTTACGAGGGATCATCGGTGACAACGGGCTCGCCACGCTGACTCACGCTTAACATTGACGGGTGAAGCTTTAACTCGCTGATCAACCGACAAACTCGTGAGCTTAAAACTTCACGCCCTCGGTGAACATGTCTCACGTTAAAAACTAGTGTGAGTTGTGTGTTAAATTGATGAAGAGTGGGCTAGTTTGCAGCAGTGACTTAAAAATTTATTACACAAAATACCTTGTGACGGAGTCCGTAAAAACGAGACGGTATACTAACACGGCAGAAGCGTTTTGGTTCTGCCCAGTACGCATTGCTATCCCAGTAGTTAGCTGTGTAACTGTGTTACTGAAGGAGTGTAAAAGACTCACAGAAGCAGTCGAACAACTGGTGTGTGCCAGGATTGCCCCTAGGAGAGGAAACGGACCTGCAATTGTATGGGCAAATAACAACCCGAGTTCCCCATTCAGGCTGAAGAAGAGAGCCAGACATCCCAGCATTACCCCAACGACTCAGTCTCAGTCAGTACCAACCCGCTTCTCTCTCTCTCTCCCATAAGTAAAAACACTGGCCGCAGCGCGCATGCTTCAACTTCTGTACAGTGTGTTACACCTAGTAGATTGTTCGCTATGCAGAAGACCCTAAGCTACAGTCAACCAGATATGGTGAGGAAGCAGATAACATACACATTGGATGCCGCTAATCAAATACCGGAAATAGCACCGGTAACCTTGGTGGCCGTAAGCTAAAATGTCGCAGCACGGATGGCCCCCATCAGTTCCGTTCACAAGTTCAACAAAAGCACCAGAAACTAAGGCTCCATAACCAGTTGCCACCAGGCGCAATCATCTTGTCTTAAACCAAGTGTGCACTAATGTCCCCGAATCCAGATCCAATACAATTAAGGGTAGGCTGACAGGCGATCGAAATCAATGGAGTTCCACCTGTACGGCGATGGGTGTCCATGCTGAGCCCACGATATTAAAAAGCATCTCACGTCATCTAGACACATTGCACTACCGTGAACCCCGATTACTTCAGGTAACACTGAACTCCGGGATGCAACAGAGACCGTTCTGCTGTCCGCAAATCCACTCCGCAACGCCTCAAGTAGAGTACGCATACTACATGAAATCCCGTGGAAAGAAAGTGCAGTGGATCCAACTAACAGAAAGGGGAACAGAAAAAGTCAAGGTAAGAAAACTATGATCGCTCACGGTATTCCTGGGCTTACTGATTCCTCTTCCGACGATATGCAGTTACACGACGGGGAGCAATGGTCCTACATCCCTAAGACTCTTTCTCACGAAATGTCGTGGCCACCTATTAGACAATGATCTACATATCACCGAACTGTAAGAGGTACGGTCTCAGGCTGTTAAAACTGTTGTTGCAATCAGAACTAAAGGCACAAATTCTTCTCCAGAACTGGACTAAATTTCGTAGCAGATCGCCAACAGAAATTTGTCTGAAATCAGCAGGACCACCATGATCTTCTATTGACAATTCAGTGGAGGTGCAACTCTCGATGAAAACACCAACTGTAGGACCTGACGCGGTAATGGTTTCAACAGTAGCTACAGCATCCGGTGGGACACAGCACAGCAAGAGCAAACAACGGGATCCGGGGCATCTAATACATGAGTATACACCAAATTCGTCTCGAGAGTTTGTAACCCATCCAACAAACGACTAGCCGTCGACCTTACATCTGTCGGCGTAAACTCACTTTC